GGGGGGAGCTGGTCCCGGGGGACCGCAGAGCCGCACTTCGGGCGGGAGGAGAGCGAGGAATCCTCTGGCTGGGCCGGCCCCAGAGCCCCGGCTCTGCAGGCCCTCAGCGGGGGCAGCCGGTGCGCCCCCAGAGCCCCGGTGCGGCCAGCGGAACACCGCCTCCCCAAAAAGTGCAAATTTATTAGTTAAAACTAAAAATTACATCTTTAATGTTCAAAGAACATATGATACATTAACACTCATTTAACACCTAAACATAACAACCTCGGGAAACACAGGAGATAACGCTGTTGGAAGCTTTTAATATTCAGTGCAAAATGAGTCCTTTAGAAAAACGTTTATTGCAGAACATGTGGCTTTCACATTCTATCTATTTAAGGCCTGGTAAACAGGCAAAGTTACTGTACTACTCCTGTTCCTATCCAGAGCATTAGATTGTCTCTAAAATAACGCTGTTCTTCCAGAAACACCACCAAGTACCAGCTACATATGGAAGCTGGAGCTCCTTAGGGAACAGGAGATAAAACTACCACCCCAGGTTTTGAGGCACTCCTTAAAAGATAGTTTTTACTGTAGCTCCCATTCATTCAGAATACAAAAGGGCTGATCCACAGACCAACAAAACTAAGTGACTATGTGAAAGCAAGTTCCTCTGAGCCAAACCCAGTCCTGCCTATGTCCATGGCGAAACTGGTTTAACTTGATGGATGTGCAAATTTACACCCCTCTGGGCCCAGGAGCTTGACTTTAGTGTCTGTGCAGCTCGCTGTCCCCGGCCCCAGCCCTCCTGCTGGGTGAGGAAAAACTTCAGTACCACACGCTGTGCATGCCACTGTAATAATGGGCTGTTTCACTTAAATTATTTTTAAAGATGACCTACTGGAGTCCGCACCTTCTAGAAAACCTCACGTCTCCCGAACTATAGTCCACATTTAGTAATGTTTCTAAAAATCCAATTTCTTGCTATGATGCGGAGGGCTTGAGTGGAACTGAAGCCAGTGTCCCTTTGCAGTTCTTGTACCAGTGATTCAGTGCAAGGAGGTACATAAGTGCTGCCCAGCATGAACCACATCTGGTAGAACATCTGACAGCTGGGCTAGCAGAACTGAGTGCTAGAGTGTCCCATGACTCCCTGACTCTTCTAAGTAAATCCTGTGCCCATTCAATCTTCCTCAGTTCAAAGGACCGATTTTCATGCTGGACATGGAGTACAGCAAGGAACTTGGAGGAGCAGAAAGAGGAGTCCTTGGCACTCAAAAGAACCAGCCTTTCCAATAACGTAATCTCGTACCCATTATAAATGAAGGGCCCTCTACTGCAAATCTTACAATGGCCCCACTGAGGTCAGCTGGATAGCATGGGCAAAAAACCCCTTTTCAGGTAGAAAAATATATTGTATCCATTACAAAAAAGGGGCCGCCTCCTGCAAATGTTACTTTGGCCTTATAATAGCCCTGCTGAGGTTTACTGGATACCACAGGCAAAAAAGTAGAAAAATTGTAGAATTGGTCCTCAAAACACTTGCATCTTAGCAAACACTGCCCATACCAGCTTCATTTTTTGTAATGAGCAGGAAATCCTTCATGCTTTTTACATTTAGCTGAGCCATAATATGCAAAATTATGTATGTTTATAAAATGCACCAGCATGTCCATTTTTAAACACTGGCAATAAACAGGTTGTCCCACAATCTGCATTTAGCTATGCAGACACAATGTGCCAAGCATTGATTTATAGTGCCTGAAGATACTGCCTGGGAGCCCTGTTCAACTGCCAGTGCTGCAACTGCCAAATTCAGTCCAGTGGCAGAAGCCTTTTGGATGATTGCTATACTGCATTATTTACACTATTTTAAATCCATAAACAAAGTCTCAATGTGGTTAGGAGAAAACACCACATGGTATATGCTCTATGTTACTAGGTTTTATAACTAAAGCTGACAGTATGAAGTAAGAAAAAATGGAGGAAAAGTTCAAAGCCCTCTCTAAAATTGACCAGGATTCATTCCCAGTATCTCAGGCATGCAGACAGCTGCTATACTCTAAGGACTGGATAACTGCCCTAAATATAGGCAGTGGCTTTTAAACGGCTGCCTCATAGTTCAATTGCAAATTTTCCTTGTTTCATTTCCAGTCAGAGCCAAGAGTTCACTACTTACTTCTGTGTATGTTGGGGTAAGGATGCATATCTGTACAGCCCTTCAGTGAAAGAAATTGTTCTGTACCTTTCAGTTAATTCTGCAATTCTGGCCTTGGTTTTAGTGTACTATGCATGGTTATAAAACTGCTTTTTGAGAAAAGGGGATGCACATAGTGCATGACCGCAGTTACACCAGCAGGTGTTAAAGGAAGACAGTGCAGTAGACGCTGTTAAAGGTTTCATGCCATTTCTTCACAGGATCATCCACATGTGATTCTGCACATTGCAGAATTTTCTTAACATTGACATAAAATCCTGTGGCAACATCCCCCTTGTCCCAATATTGAATCCTGCATGCCATGTTCCCAAATCCATCTGCAGAGCAGCACTCAGCTGGTCCTGTGCCACAGCACACTTTCTCACTGCAGCTCTGAGCTGTGGTTTTAGCCTTCATTCAGCCAAGGAGTGGCTCTGTCTCCTCACAGTGCTGGGAAGTGATGGGCTGCCAGCTTCAGCAGCAACTCTTCCAAGGGTAAGAGGTGTTTTTTGTCAGCAGAATCAGATAGGAAACTACTAATCACGTGAGAATAAATAAGTCTGTGTCCTCCAAAGAGAAATGCAGGTGGAAGATACAGCCTCTCTGCACTTTCTTAAGGAGACTTGATGTGTCCATGAGGTTAGCTTGCATCTACAGCATCTCTGTGAAATCCTTTTGCTCCTGAAGGAGAAGGGGCCATCGAGCCTTTTATACCAGGGTCCCATTCTTACTGTCATATTTCAGCCTGGGTCGGGGGAAGTTGAGGGTGGCATACTCTGTAGCATTCTGCATTTGTAAGTTCTTCACCTCTGCTGCAGAGCGCTCCCGGACCTTGGTGAACACTTGGATGTCTGCATAATGAATGTTGTCATCCTGCTTCACACTCTTGGGTTTACTCACAGTGGCGTAGACAGGAAACTCTGGGACATCTTCATACGTTGGAGCCTTTGGGGAGAAAGAGCTCTGGAAAGTCAGGTCTCTGAGCTGCTGCTATACATGCCTTCCCCAGACTACGCAGAGACACCCTGCATGCTGCCCCGAGCCCATCCAGCCCTCTGACACTTCAGTCTCAGAGAGACATTTCATCCTACTGCTTCCACTGCACTTTGGGGGGAAAAAATGGGCCCACATCACTGTACAGCAATGCACATTGTTCCCACAACCATTAAAGCCTATACGGGATGAGATGCTTCATGGCCCTGAATAAACTGTCCCATGTGCTTCCAACCAATCTAGCCTAGGAAGTGGTGGTCAGTCAGCTCTTTCTTCTCAATATATGGTTAGGAAAACAACTCTGGAAAGCTTTTACCTTCCTGTCAGGCTGATGCTGTTGGGTGTCCTGTCTCACATTAGTTCCTGAAAAAGAAACACCAGCAGATCAGGTTAACACAACTGTTTATTGTTCCACCTTTGGATACAGAAATGCAGTGTCTGGCCCATGGGCTCTCCCTGCTGGACACAAATCAAACCTCCCCCTCATCTGACAGCCTCAACTCTAATGCTGTCTCTGAGGACTGCCTCCAAAAAAGAAAGTCTGGGCTTGTTTCTTTGGAAAAAATAAGGTTTCCGTGGATGACAACATGCTGTGGACCGCAATGTTCTTGGCAGAACCTAGGAGGACAGACGCAGCACAGAGAGCTTCCTTGTCAGGCCCTTGGAGAAGTCAGATCCAGTTTTAACTTTGTTATTTCCTTTGGTGCCTGGCAAACATAATTTGCCCAGCATGATCTAAAGGCCACAGGACACAACTGGGCTACTTAGGAAATGCACTTTATTCTGAGGGACTGATGTCAGACGGATGTTTGCAGCTCTTACAGAATTTTGATGCAGCTTCTGCTATTCTGCCGTTTGAGAGTACTCACACATGTTTTGATGTGAGACTCTGGTATTTTAAGGATATTGCTGAAGTCCCTTCCCTCCCCCTTGTCAAGTCCCATGGCACATCTTTGCTTTAAGGTTTAAAGAAATCTTGCCTCTTGCTTCTACCAAACTTCTCTTGAGGAAGATTAGGTACAAAAGAGTATGGGAGGGGATCTCAGCCTCAGCGATCCAGTTCACAGTCAGCAGTGACTAGTATCAGCTAACTAGGGGCTCAGTCATGCCCCTCTTCTTGTCCTCTAAAGCATTTTCACAAATCCTTACCTTGCTTTTCTTTCTTTCTTTTAAAAGGCGAAGGACAATTCCTGAAATCAGAGAGAGATGTCAGCCCTGAAAATCCCCGGCCTCTGCTCTCATAACATGCAAACCCAAATACACCACCCCCGGACACCACATCTGTGGGTAATAAGACAGGCTCAAGAAGCATCATCTCAAGAAGAGCTATTGAGCCAAGCCAGAACCTGGGTGACTGTTTCAGGAAAAAAGTCCAAAGGGGAGACATGGGCATGTGTTTCCTTCTTCCGTGACACACCTACCATACCCCACAGGCACCCCCAAGTCTGCTTGCCCTTCAGCCCTCCCTGGCTGTCCAATATCCATATGCATCAGAGTGAATGAGAAATTTCACTGTAGTTTTGCAACTACATTTCCACAGCTCTATGACCAATGATGCAGGGTGCAGAGCATGATCTCAACTGGCACGAAACTCTTCTCTTAGGGCCAGATGCTCTGATAGCCCCATACCCTGCGCTTTGGACTCCTTGTCCAAGGTGCAGCTGTGCACAGACCTTGTGCTAATGTAATGTTTCAGACAGTTTTCCTGTTCTGTTTTCCACTTAAACCTAACCAGTTATGCACTTATTGCCACGCCAAACCGTAATCTCAGGTGACCTGTGTGACCAGGAAGAGACACGCCAAATGCAGCTATGTTCCAGCCATGGAATAAGCAGGAGCCAAACTCATTCCAGCTGTAACAACAGAGCCAGGAGCTGAGCTCCTGCCGGCCGGTGCTGGCAGGGGAGCGCAGGCAGAGCTGAGACGTGTCACATTGTGGTTCAGATGCATGAAGGAAATGTTATCATTGCAGCATGCTCGGATGGCTGGAGGAGAGCAGGTGCCAGCCCTTGTATGGCTCCTCCTGCGTATGCGTGTCCATCTGGTCCTGGCCGCCAACCAGCACAGTGTGCAGCTGAGGGTCTCACACAGGTCTGTGTCTCTGCCACAGCACAGGCAGCAGCTGAAAGTGGGCAGCTAGCGCTTTTAATGAGGCTACAGAGTTACCAGATGGCTCCCAAGAAGCATTAGGTGTCCCACAGCGTGTGCGTTTGCCAGAGAGTCCTGCCACAGGCAGGAACAATGCACTGCCTGAGGCAGAGCTCTGCCTTTGCTGGCTTTTAAAGGCAGTTTCAATGGGTGGGTGAGCAGGACAGTGTGTGCGGTAATGCCTTTGGCACTCTAATGGCAAAACAAAACAAAAAAAGCATGAATGCGGGCAAAGAACATTATCAGTAATGATTAACCAGGCTTGCTAGACCTGGGAAGTCAAAGGCAGCTTTGGGGAAGGCAGGACGGCCATGCGCCTGTGCAAAAGGATCCAGCACTGCTTCTTGTGTCTCTGCTATGTGCTGCTCCAGAGAGGCACCAATGGCCCTCCAGTCCTTGATAGACAAAACTGGGGGGGCTGCACCGGGGAGTTAAAGACCTACCTCAAGGCAGCATTGCTTTGTCCTGTGGTGGTTTGCACTTGGCTGTTGCAACTCCCTCCTCCACTGTCTATGAGCTTGTGGGGTCATCAGGGCCCTCCTTGCCAAGGCTTGTGTGCTAGGGCACTTTGTATTCAGGCACGTTGTGCAATGTAGTTAAAATAGCACCATTTGAAGCAAAATCAGCAGGGTCTATATCCTCTTTCCTAGTAGGCAGGTCACAGTATCAGTGTTCCAAGCTGCTCTTGCTTGTTTTGGTTGTCTGCCTTTGTAGAGAGAGCATTAGCAGCCAGTGTGTAGGCTGGAGCTATTCTGAGGCTGTCTGCAGGCTAATCACAGCCAGGCAGGAGACGGCATCTCCCAGCCTCAGATCTGTGGTAATTAGGACGGATGTGGCAAAGGAAACAAGAGCAGAGCAAACCTCTCCCCTCTTCTCAAAACCAGGTCAAACATGTTGTAACTAACTCACAGCCTGCCAGGAGCACATTGTATTCTACATGACAGCACACATGTCCCTGCTCCTGTATTGCTTCTTCCTCTTTCCCCATGTCAGTGCCAACCCGATTTCTGCCCTACATAAGCCTGTGGTAATGGCTTCTCTTTAAAGACTCCAGGAACCTTCTCAGTCTCTTGCTCTTTGCTCTGTAGTGATCATGGCAAGGATCTTCTAACCAGGAGAAGGTGGGCGTCTACCTCCTCTGAGCCCTTTTGCAAGTCTCAGCTTTATTTAGGAAGCCCATCTCTTTACTGATACAGCTGTGGTGCTAAGAAAATATACAGAGCTAAAAGCAGTATATATGAAATACCTGAACTAAAATTAAGTACCATTTTTTTTCCTCTGTAACCAAGGCAAACCTATGAATCGTGCAAACTTCTGCAGCAGGGCTTCAGTGCACCAGTCTGCTCTTGATTGTGGCCCTCTGTAGGTGTCTCCCAAGCTCATGTTGCCACTGCACATTGCCATTTGCCTTCCTCTTTCCTTGCTAAGAGCCTATTTGAGTAGCCAGCACAGTACAGGGACAGCCTGGGAGCCTGAGGCCCTTCTTCATCCATGTGTTTTCATGTGTAGGACAGGGAAAGATGCTCCTGGGGAGAGAGCTCTGCTTTCTCGCTGTACAGTCTGTAGGGCAGATGTTAGTACTTGAGTCCCATGAGGGTGGTTGGTGTCAAAAGGGTCTTTGGCCAGAGCTTTGCCCTCTGCTGCAGAAATCTGCCAGAAGGTAGCATTGACAGCATCAGAAGAAATACCATCCCAGCTTCTTACTTTCCATGCAGCCTCTGGGAAAAAAATCAAGTGGGACACGAGTCCTGGTCCAGTAGCCTTGGGGGAGCAGAATTTGATGTTGCCCCCAGCAAAGCCAGCCTGCCATCATGCTGCTCCCCAAAGGGAGCAGAAAGCTGCTCTCCTGCCTGGCCCTGCATAGGTGAGTGACCTTCGGATTCTGGTTTATAATTCCTTTTGGAGGCAGAAGTGTTTGTGCATGGCCTGGCATTGTCTGGATGTGAAAGTGCCACCACAGTATATGCTGTAATGCTAGTGTTTGTAATTCAGAGTCTCTGGCTTTGCCAGCCCATGCTGTAGCAAGGCTCTCTCCACCACATAACATCAGTAGTGTGGCTGGCAACTGCAGCTCTGCTCAAGGAAACCAGCCTGTGCCCCAGGCTTTCCCTGATCAGCCCCATGCCCCTTGCAGTAATGAAGCTGATGTCCTGCATACCTCATTTACCCTCTGCCATAGAGTAGAGAAAGTGGAAAAAGGGACTTTCAGTGAGGAACATGTCAAGAACCAGCCTTCCATCTCCCACCTACAGCTCCTATTCCTAAATTCCAAACTCCTCTGCCCTCCAGCTCAGGGCAGAGGTTGGAAGGACCTCGGTGCCCTGAACCTCCTCCCCTGCTTCAACCACTAGGTGATGCTGCGCCTCTTGTAATTATTAAAAAGCGCTGATGAATTCCTCATACTTTTAACAAATGCAGTGTTGGAGAGAATGTCCTCGGAGCTTCATCTGATATTCATGCTCTTCCCCTTGTACCATGCTCAGAGCTGAAAATATTTCCACTTGGCACTGCATGATTCTCCACTGTACCCTTTTTCTGTAAGCAGAAGGTCCAGGGTACAACATAAACCAGGAGGGATTAAACTGTCATCCTCCCTCCCAGGCAAAAAGAGCAACATCATCTGAAAAATGTGGCCAGGATTCCCCAAGTGCAAATAAAGCCCAGACTGACACAGGTAGGGAGAAGGGCTGGAGGAGCTGAGCGCAGGATGGGGGTAGCTGACCCACAAGCCCATAGCACCAGCGCCGCCCCAGGGACCCCTCCCGGCAGTATGCCAAAGGAACAAATCATGGTGTCTACCTGGCTGGAGACTACTGGGGCAAGGACAGGGATTTTAACTAGATCCTTCCTAGAAATGAGCTACTGTTAGCTGCTGGCATGGCTGCGGGAGCCCAAGCTGCCGGTTCCAGGGGGGTGCCACAGCCCATCTGGACTGAGAGATGTGAGCAACAAAGCCCTCCTGCCTTTGGCAGGCAGGGACTCCCCCAGCCTCCTATCCTGGTCCCTGTCCTGGCACATCAGTGACCCCATGCCCCTGCTCTCTGTTTCTGTGTGCTCTGGCAAGGTGCAGGGCTAAGAGCCAGCCGGGAGACCTGGCAAATCCAGTGCAAGGGAGTAAAGCTTGCCAAGTCCACCCAAACTTCCACTCGGGGTGCCCACAGCTTTGTCTGCCATCCCCACACCTGGCGATGCCGTACTCACTGTGGTCGCCCGTAGCTGCAGAGGTTGCCCATGTCGCTCCTTTCTCCATGAAGCAGAAGTGTTTTCTGGACAGGGAGAGCTTGTATTTCCTGGTTCCTGCTCAGCCCCTGGCTATTCCAAGGGAGTGTCTGGCAGTGTCGGATTTCTCTCCATCGCTGCAGCGACGCTGTGCTAGGCCCGTGCATGCCATCTACCGGAGGGCTTGCCCTGGGCTCTCTGCGTCCCCGGGGCTTGCCCTCACCTCTTGCTACCCAGGGAGGAAAGGGCAAGGTGACAGCATGCCTCCAGGCCTCAGCCCTGGGGCTAAAATTCTGCTTTGTACAGTGAGTGTCCCTCCGCTATCCCTCTCTCCAACCAGTGCCATCCTGATGCTACCAACAGTGATGCAAAAGAGGATGGAAGAGGGACTTCAAATGTTCTGAACAAAGGAGAAAGCCCGGGGTGAGAGCCCTCTGGTGCTGTTCCTGCTGTTCATCGTTGCATCTCAAGCAGGATGTCAGACAAATGTGTGGCATGGGCAGGTATCATCTGGGAAAGAAAGCGTATCTTCTTGGGAGGGAGGTGGTGCCCCAGTGGAAGTGAGAGCAGGCTTGCAGGTCTGCTCTCGGCTGAGCTCTAGTGCTGCTGCTTCTGCTGCAGGCAGAAAGGTGTGTGCAACCTGAGGGACATTACTTGGAATGCAGGGGGGTTTTTAAGCTACAGAGATTTGTGCTTTTGAGAATGACAGGATCCCATGAGGGACCTTGCATCATTAAGGACCTGCAATACAGCTCTTAGGCTTATCCCTCTACATGTCAAATAGGAACATTAATGTGCAGTTTACCTCTCTACCCGTGTTGAGAGCCCTTCAGTCTGTGGCGGGTCATTCTTGGGCTTAATGTCAGGGAGCTGGTCTCTGGCAGCTCTAAGACAGCCAATACCCAATACTGAAAGAGACCATGTTAATGTAGTCCCTGAGCAGAAACTGTGCTCCACAGCTTTGATTTGGCAGTCAGCTCCAGTTTTGTGCAGGCCTGAATGCCTCATGGGATGTGCTGACAAGTGGGTAAGTATTAATTCACCTTTCTGGTGGGCTATCTCAGGAACCAGCCCCTGTCCCCTACTCCTGCAGCTGTACCCACACTCTCAGACAGGCTCACAGCATCATTTATCATCTGCCGGAGTGCAGAGCAAAGCTTGTACCTGTCCAGAAGTGGCAGGAGCAGAAGGGTTCTGCTTTGGAAGGACCATGGGGTACAGCTGCTCTCTTAGCTGACTCCTGGATGAGCTGCACCGTGAGCAGCAGAGCCTGAGTCTTGCTCTGAAACTGCTCCTCAGCATGCGACTGTAGAAAATTGCACAGCTCAGCCTGCACCACATCACCCTGGGAAGAATTTAGGATTGGATTTATGCAGGCAGATAGGATTTACTCCTAGTCCCAACAGGACCATGTTCTCAGGGTCCTGCAAAGACCGGGTGGTCTCAGGAGTCTAGCCCTGCTTAGGAAGTTGCAGACTGTGTGTCTCTGGGTTTGCCACAGACACTGTTGATTTAGTGAGCCAGTGTCTGTTTTGATTTCTGGGATAACTTGGGCTTTGTTGCTTTGTGGAGAAGGAAAAAAAAAAGGCTGAGAGTCTGTTCCCATCAGCCCCTTTCACAAATACTGGACCTGCTGGTTTGAGCTCCACCAGAGAAACAGAAAGGCATCAAAAACATTGGCAGAGCTGGAGAGCATTTGGCTGCCACTCTGCATTCCCTCCTTGGTCTGTGTCTGCAGGGATGAAAGACAGCATGGCTTCCAGCACTCCTGCTCAGCAAACCGATCAGGCTATTTTGTGCAGTCTGCCAGGGTGCAAAGGAACAGCCCAGCGGCTGACACCAGGCAGTGCCAGCCCCTCTGATCGGGGCAGCTGTCTTCATGCACTCAGGGACATCGTCTGGGTAACAGGCTGTGCAAGTGGCACAGGACAAGCCTGCAAGTGCCCAGCAATAGAGAATGAGCTCGTTGGAGAGCAAAGACGGGGCTAATAAAAGCCAGAGAGAGAACAGAACTGTGTAATGACTACTAACGCCATGCATTTCTATTGCAATAGTGTCAAGGTACCTCAGACATTGAGGGACTGAGACCACACTGTGATAGATGTGGTATAGGTACATAACAAGTTGGCATTGTCTATAAAAAACGAAGGAGAGAGCTCTGAAGTGTTTTGGGTCTTAAAATCCACTCTCGGTGCAGCCCCAGCCCTGGCCACATGCTGTTTTCAGCCTCCAGTGGTTCAGCAACGCGCAATCCTTGTGTTGTAGAGTCAAAGCAAGGCCAGATGGCATTTAATGCTTTAGTGTGTGCCACGTCTGCATTGTGTGTGTATGTGCACTCTTTCAGCCCTTTGCACAGCTTGCAGGTCATATGTTGGCCATCCTCCCTATCCCCAGTCCAGTGAAGATGTTTATTCTAGGGACAAGAGACCTGCAGTGAGCAAGGGGACCACTGATCCTTCTTACCAGCACAGAAGATGCCAGATCAGAGGCAAAGAAAAGCGTTTCATAGCTGCTACTCTGAAATGAATCCTTTAATGGTAGGGCACAAAGGAAATTATGGCTGTGCCTGAGCCCACACGCAGACACAGGTCTCTGCGCTCACCACAGGGATGTGGGCTCAAGATCTCAGCCCTCCTGGAACTCGGGCGCGTGCTGCTGTGAATGGGATGTGGTATGTATCTGGTGCAGTGTATGAGGCTGATGCATTGTGCACTGAGGATGAAGGCAGGGGAGCAGTTGAGGACTGGGCTGTTCCTGCCCTTACAAGCAGCTGCTTCAGGTGATTGAAAGTCACCAGTCCAGGATTATCTTTGGAATTATTATTAATGACTTAGACAAAGCCTGTTGGAAAGATGATTTTTATTTTTTCAGTGTCTGAAATACTTACTGGCAGCAGCTTATCTGGTCCTACTTCATGAGTAAGGGCATCCCTCAGTGATACAGACTGTGAGTGTGGGTATCTGATCTGCACCGGTGGGGGATGGAGGCTTAGCCATCCTCCCATTTGCTCTCATGAGGCTGGCAGGCAGGGCTGCTCTTAATTTAACTCTGATCCTCATTTCTGGCAGGGACCCTGAGAGGCAGAAAATAGCTGCACAGTGATTCACTCTGGTCTAGATACCACGTTGCCTGGCAAGGGTGAAAGACCAGTCTTATACCAGTGTTTCAGCAACTAAGGAGGTATGCTGCATGGGGTAGAGTCCTGAGCACGGCATTTCTGGCCCTATGTATTCATGGAGGCAAAGTGCAGAAGCCTACAGGTCATATCCCAGCAGGGAGAGGGAGAAGCTCTGTCACAGGGACTTCAGAACCTCCTCTCTCCTCTGTGGGAGGGCTGCCAGGGACCCCCATATTTGGCCAGTGACACAGCATTTTGGCTGCTTTAATTGGCTCTAATAAGACAAGGATTGCAACTGGCACCTGCTGAGCCGTCGGGGCCATCCGAGGCAGCAGCTGCCACTGACAGCAGCACACACGATTCCTGGCCCAACATCACAAGACTATGGAGACATGTAGACGGTAGCATCATGGTGTCTGCAAAAGGGGCCAAATTCATCCCCTCTGTGGCTCTACCGAGGGTGTTGGGATACCATCAAGGCACTTGAGATCTGAGTAGAGCCTTTCCCTTCAGCATTCTGGGGTTCACTCCCCTCACAAGGGGTGAAAAGTTCTGTATGTGAATGAGCCTATGTCCATAAACTAGAGGGCTGAAGCAAGCAAATACCATGGCTTGGCACTTTTTTAACTTGGGCTAACTCCAGCTCCATGTCTGGAAATGCACAGGGAACTTCCAAGAGCCCATCATTCTACATATTTTCTCCTTGGGGCTACTGCCCACTGATGACTCCCTACAACAGCAAGCAACTCCAGCTACACCTGAACCAGGAGGGCTAATCACAGACGTCCCTCTGGCTGCCCCATGGACAGAGTCCCTCCAAGTCCCCACTGATGCCGTTTCCACAGATGAGCTCTGTGTGAACTCTCCGCTGCTCTGCTCCCCGTATCTGGAGCAGCTACGGCACTGTCCATCCTTCCTGCTGCAGAGTAGCTTGGCCAGAAGCAACATGAATCCAAGGCAAACAAGAGAAGATCAGAGGCAGATTTATTCCTCTTTCCTCCTGAGAGCTGCAGGCACTTTTACAGACCAACAAGCACCTTCCATCTCCACAGAGGTCAGCCACCATCTCAGAAGCATGGCACTGGGATCATCTCTTCCTTCTTCCCAGTACCCTTCTGGGCTAGAGCACAGTGGCTGCTTAACAGTCCACTAGGACATAGCCTCACAGTTTAGGGTAAAAGTGACCCTTGCCATTTGGGGTGAGAGAAGAGCACCCTGCATGGTGCTCAATGAGCACTTCACCTAGGAGAAAACTTGCATTACAGTCCCTCACACTAAAACTTTAGCCCCCTCTTTTTTCAGTTCCAAGTCCCTTTTTCCAGCCATCAGTCTTAAGATGCAGAAGTCTGGCATATATATGGCTGCCTCACAGCCCTGCTAGACACTGATGGTGAGAAATAAGGATCTGGCACCATGGATTCCCCACCCCTTTCCCCCCCGCCTTCCCTGTGCAAGCCCAGATCTGCCCTTTAGGACTCTTCCTTCCCTTTTGCTTCCTCGGACTGTTCTTCTTTCCCCACTGGCTGCTCCTGTTGGGTTATCTTCACCTCGTTGACTCTGGCCTTCACCTCCTTTCCTGTCCGGGGAGCCACAATGCTTAAGATGCCATCATGGGACAATGTGGCTCTCACCAGCAAGGGGTCGACATCCAGAGGGAGGATGTAGGTCCTGGTGAACTCTCGGGAGATGAAGCCATGACGGTCAGCCTTCTGTGGGTGCTGCCCCATCACCTCCAGCAGGTTGTCTACGGTGCGGACAGTGAGCTCATCCGGCAGGAAGTGACAAACATCCAGGAACACCTGGAATTTGTGCTCGTTGAGGCTGATCTCAGAGGTGCCTCGATCCAACTGCTTATTGATTCGAGGCCTGATGTAGTAGCCATGGTACAGGGCAGGGGCTAAAATCTCACATGGGGACACACCTGAAAATGAGACACAGTGAGGAGTGTGGGGTTTCCAGGGGAATGAGTTGGAGAAGGATGGTTGGCAGCAGATAGGGGAAGGAGACAGGAGAAGGCTAAGACCTGGCAAACACCTTGGTTCTACTACCACCTCAGCACAATATGGATGGAATCTCTTGCAGTTCCTACCTTTGTGTCTCTAAAACACACACAGAGGCAGTTGCCTACCAACCACTGCCTCTCACCACACAGCTGGCAGCTGCCAGCAAGCCAAGGAGCTGGCATCCAGCTTGTCTGCTGGGTGGACAAGGAGGGACCAGTAGGTGCATTGGGTGCTCCGCAGTGCAAAGCCCACAGCCAGGGATGGGCATGGAAAATGCTGATGGTGAAGAAACTGCCCTGAAGAACTAAAGGCCTTTTGTGTGCCATTGTCCAGGGGGCTTTCCTTGGAGCTTTTTTCCTTTTCACGCTGTTGTGCTGGTGCTGAATGGTTCTGCTGCTGCCCACATTCCTTCCCCTCTGCCAGCCACTGCCAGGCTTTGTGCTGAACACCCCAGCTCAGCTTTTCTCCACAGCCCCCGGCTGCAAAAACTCCATCCCCCAACCCCCCTGGAGCATTTTGCTCCACATTTGCACAGCATATGCATGAATGCCAGATCATTAGGGGCATGAGGAAGGGACAGGAGAGACAGCAGTAGGCATGGATGAAGGAAGTGGACCTGAAGAGAGAGACCCTGGCTATTCCCCTGATATTCCCCTCCTGATTTGGCCTAAATCCTTATGTTCAAAATCCTTGGCTCCTGCTCTGGAGCTCAGTCTCCCCGGGGGGACTCCACCAGTGCTCCTGCACCAGAGGAGAGAAAGGTGCTGGGGGGGACCTCATGTCCTTTCTTACCTTCTCCAAAGTTTTGGTCGTAGATCTTGCTAGGGTTGGCAAACTCGTACTCCGAACTCATGGGGTAGGCGTGGGGGACAGTCCGTGCAGCCATGGCGTGTCTAGGAAGGGGACCTTCCAAGCACTCACTGCCTCTGAGAGCGAAGGCTGCAGATTGCAAGGTTTTAATTGGGCGAATTCCACAGGGAGGAGTGTGTGATAAAAAGATGGACCAAAATAGCCACACACACAGGCCCCAGGATGCCTCGCCAGGGTGACGAGGGAAGCTTCTCACTGCATTCCAGCAGGCAGTGCAGGCAGTGCCTGCAGTCAGGGACGCCTCAGGAAAATCCTGCACCTCCTCCCAACCTCAAAGATCCTCTCCTCGAGCAGGGGGTGCAGGAGGCAAACAGGCAGCCAAGTACAGCAGGGTGGCACAGAGGTGAGCTGAGGGAGGCTGAAGTAGGAGAAAGCAGGACAGACCCCAGGCTCTGCTGCCTCAGGTGTCTCCAAAGGAAAGGGCCAACAAGAAGGCGCATTGTTTAAGGAGTCCCTGACACTGCTCCTGCTGACCCTAAAGCACCCCATGGGGACAGGGCTACGCTAATGCTGGCTGGTGCTTGATCTGGTCGTGCAAAGTCACATGAAATCACTATCACACCCATCGCCCCACTGTGAGCTTAGGGCCCAAATCAGCCCCTCCGGTAACCTGCACAAAGGAGCTTGACTTTCACAGAATCCAAAAGCAAAACCTTTTGTTCCTATGGGTAGTGAAGTGCTGGAGGTAGTTAAGCAGGACTAGACAGGATCCAGATCCCACTACTGACTCCTCTACATCCCAAACCCTGCTGCTGCAAGCTGGCTGTCCAGACTCTTCCTGACCAGGGCTTTGGCACAATGTAGTAAGACCTGGAGAAATACTAGTGCCAGTGATCATGAGTTAACCAGGGATCTGAAGCTGGCATAGATCCATTTTGTACTGAACTCAGGGTAGGGGGGGTGGGGAGTAGTGCCCAGTTAAGGTCCTCGTACCCTGAAACCAGAGATTTCTTTGAGTCCGTGTCCCTGCAGTGTGAGAGAGCAGGTGCACTGCTGTTGATGTAATGGGGAACTGGAGAAGTTATTTATGGCGTGAGCTGTTGCACAGAGCAAATTCTGCTCCCTATTTTTGCAGGCAAGCTGAGAGGAAGAGGATCAGACCCTTTCACAAAGGACTGGTGGTCCTAGCAGTAAGAATGATATGCCTCTGAGCCAGTAATGGTGTTTAAGTTGCAAGCTCTCAGTCTAGTTCTTGCTCTTTAAAGACAGTTGCTAGGCTGAACCCATTCCCATGATTTAGGTTCACAGGCAAGGCAGGAATTAAAATATATGTGTGAATTAAGACATATCAGGAGCATAATTATAGGAAATCAGCTTGCTGCAAGGGCACAGAGGTAGCTTGCATCCCTGTGAAGGCATGGCTTAGTGCAGCAGCATAGAGGCTATTGGCATGCCTGGTTTATCTCTGCTCACACCCCTCTGGAATACTCAGTGTCAGGCTCTTCTGCGCTTTCCAGCAAAGTGGTTTCTGTAGTGGGCAAAAGACGGGAGGTGTTGGGCTGCAGAACTGTGGAGAAAGCCATCCTTCATTTGCACACACACCAATGGGCATGCACGGAGGCAGTGGGGCTTACTGGGCTGCAGAGAGCAGCACTGCCAGGGGTATCTCAGCAAAGACCTCCAAGGATCTTTCCTGCCCTCTGAATAAAGCAGGCCGGTGGCTTCCTTTGCCTTAAGAAAAAGCAGAGTTCTTCCGAGACTGGTGGGTGCTGTGGGGAGCTGAAGTCTCAGTGCTGGCAGTGGGAACAACAGCCCCTTGTCATTTTCCCTGTGAGCCAAAGATAGGAGCTGCATTGATCCTGCTGGCATCCAAAGCAGCTGGGAACATCCGCCAAGCCTGCCTGGGACTCGGCAGATAAACAGCACGTGGGGAGTGGGGCGGGCGGCTGGGCAGTTTGGCTTCTTGCTGCCCCATTAGGCTCCTTTTCTTCTTCTCCCCTTCCCCCCCCTCCTCAGCAGTGTTCCAATCCCCCAGACAGCTACTGGGCACCACTGAAGGGACCAGCCCAGAAGTGGGACAATAAAATCCCTGACACCACTGTTCAAGAGGCCTCTGGGCGGGCGGGGGGGAAGGCCAGGCCAGCTGCACGGGTATAAAGCTGTCCCGCACTCCCGGCACAGAACTGCAGCACAGTTGTTTGCCAGGCTCCTCCAGCGCACTCCAATGGATATCACCATTCATAACCCCCTGATCCGCAGACCTCTGTTTTCTTGGTTGGCACCGAGTCGTATCTTTGACCAGATTTTCGGAGAGCACCTGCAGGAGTCAGAGCTTTTCCCTGCTTCCCCCAGCTTCAGTCCCTTCCTGATGAGATCCCCCTTTTTTCGGATGCCCAGTTGGCTAGAGACGGGACTCTCTGAGGTAATCTTCCCTTCTTAATAGTCTTTGTTATTGCTGTGTGCACACCCTGATGGGTCTGGAGCTGGAGACCCATGAGAGCTGAGAGCTTGGAAGCTGCTTGTAGATGATTATTGGGAAAAGGCTGGGGAGAACGGTGCTGTGTTTGTGCCTCTGCTCTTCTGCATTAGGCAAGAACCTCTGCATGCTCTGCTGATCATTTGTGACTGAGAGCAAGTACTGCCACAGTGTTAAGAATAAAGGCAAACTGAGCTGAGTGTGCGTCAAATGATGGTAAGAGTTGATGGAAGAAAGGAGGAAGCCTACTTTTTGCTGTGCAAAACTTTCAATCCCACTCCCTCAAGAGAGGCAAACAGCACAGGGATAGTGGGCAAGGGTAGCAGGATCCTCATGTCAGGCAGTGTGGGAGCTCATGGTTGCTGAGGAAAAAGGGTCCTATTTTAAAGAATCACAGCTGAGGAAAGCAGCATTTTAAGTAAGATACAGGACCCAAGGGATACTGAAGCAGGCATCTGCTTGCTTCAGGGGCTGAGCCAAGAGTCACGCAGTTCGAACAACCTTGCCTGTTCTGCGAGTCAACTGTCTTATTTATAAGTAACTTGTAGAGCTATTCTAAGCCAAAGGAGTGAGAGGAAAGTATTTTTTTAATCTTTGCATAACGTTTCCCTTGATTTAGTGACCTGGGTCTGGTTGTCCACTAAAGCAACCATAATAAACACCACAGATAGAAATGTCTGACTATCTCAGTGGAGAAATCTTCACAAATAATCTGGAGGGAGGAGGATGGACTTAGGCTCCTAGGTCAAACTCTGGAAACCAAAAAGTGTAGAGCTGGTACAGAGGCTGCCTCCACATCCCAGAGCAAAGCTCCAGGATTCAGATTAAGAAAATCTCTTCCTCACTCACACGGAAAAAATTTATCCCATGTGATCAAGAGAAAGCATTCCCATTTTAGATATTGTATTAATTGCAATTTAGATACTGCATTAATATAACTGGGCAGCAAGGGACAAAGCCATCCAGATCAGAATCACAGGATCAAATGAAGGTTAGACAGTACGTGTAGATACCAGCTTGAGTCTTGAACTGCTTTATTCTGATATCCTTTTTAAGCTGAAACCGTCACCTGCTCTTTTCTGAATTCACCTCCTTGTTTTGCAGATGCGACTGGAGAAGGACAAATTTTCTGTAAATCTTGATGTGAAGCACTTCTCCCCTGAGGAGCTAAAAGTGAAGGTGCTTGGGGACATGATAGAAATTCACGGGAAACATGAAGAGCGACAGGTACCTCTACTTTAACTGTGCAACTCATAGAGTCAGTGTGGACTTCCTCATCTATGGTTAAACAAGGAGTCTGCCAAACAATCCTCTCCTGTGCTCATCTCAAATTCTTCTAATGGTTTTTTATCAACCAATCCTAATGGAAGATGCTCTGTGCAAACCCCTCAGCTGAACCCAGTCTGGGCAGCAACAGGGTGGAGATTTATTGCTGATGTTACACGAACTGTGAACTGACCTGGAACACCATCTTTGAAATAGGCATTTCTGGGCCTCCCTCTTTCTGGGAACAGGCCAGAAATGCAGGGAGGCATTCAATAAACTAACAACGAACTGTAATAATTAAACCACATTATGAATCAATGTGTTGCCCTGTTCCGTTACCATGAGGCCACCTCTTCCTGAAAGTTTGTAATCCTTAAAAGTTGTGTTCTGCTGTCAGTCATCCCACTGCTTGCTGTCTCTGGAGACCTGTGTGTATGTAACAGGGTTTGTCAGTCCCCATCTTCCCCCCCGCCCCATGTCCTTGCCAGAAGAAAACAAATATGCATGATAAAGTAGCTATGTCACTGGAATTGTCAGCTCTAAGGGCTTCTGGGAGCACAGATCTGTCAGTCAGGAAACAGCATTACTTGTAACTGGTGGAAGCCTGTAATCCTGACATAGCTTTGCAAATTATTTTGGCTAAGGAAATAACCAAGCACTATAGCAGATGTCAGCTCACTAGAAACCTGGGTATTACCAGAGGTCTGGACATCCTCGGGAACAGGCATGGTTGGCACTGCATGTAGGCGTAGCTGCTGCATCTTAGGAATGACAGCACACCACTGTGCAATGAAGCCAATCTCTGGCTGGCATGAGAACTGGAACATAAAGCCTCCTCCTGTAAACAGAGTATCTGCAGGCACCTGCAGCCTAGGCAGGGCAGTGTCTCACTTCAGCCAGTCTTGGCTCTTTATAAAAGGTATCTCATAATAAAAACTCTTCTACCCCTCTGAAAAGTTCTCATTTGAGAGCAGGAGCTTCCCGATCTCAGACTTTATGCAAAGAACCCATGATTTAGATGGAACTGAATGAACAATTCTAATGAGGGCTATTCCTTCTCTTCTCCTTTTGAAGGATGAGCATGGCTTTATTGCCAGGGAGTTCAACAGGAAATACAGGATTCCAGATGATGTGGACCCTCTGACTATAACCTCATCACTCTCTCTGGATGGTGTCCTGACTGTGACCGCACCGAGGAAACAAAGTGATGTCCCTGAGCGCACTATCCCTATCACCCGTGAAGAGAAGCCTGCCATTGCAGGAGCCCAAAGGAAGTAGGCTGCTATTTAAAGTCACCCTTCGGGGCCATTCAAGAGCACTTGTCATCAGATGCCAGCTATACTGAATGGCTACTCTTATTATTTATGCTGAGTAAGTTAACTAACAAATAAAACATGAATAAGCAGTTTGTATTTTTTTTTGTTTTGAGGACAAAGGGAGTGTTCGGTCAAGAAAGCCGTGTGAGGTTTCTGTGCAGGGAGACGTACCTGGCATCATTCTTGCTTACAGCTTGAGTGGCAGGTATGTCCAGGAGAGTTTGTGGTGGTGTTAAGAAACAATTTGCTTGTTTCACTTGGTGTACTCTAATGCTTTGCATACATCAATTGCATGAGCCTTTTGCCTCGGTGTCGCCACAGGACTCCAGAATGTTTCACAAGTAACAGAAAAGTTTCTCCAGTGGAGATTAGACTGGTAAAACAGCTTCACGACAATCGAAACTCATTCGAAGTGTGGGTATTAGATAACAACTGAATGAAAGACAACTGTATCTTAAATATCTAGAATGACTCATGTTATGGAGAAGCATCCAAGTGCTGCAACCAGATAAGAGCAGTTGCAGGTGAAAACTGCATAGCTGCAATAAACACAGATATATCCAGAGAGGAGAAAAGCATCCTGCTCTCATGGTGCAAATCACATCACTTTGAAACTATGTTGTCAGTGCCCTTCAAACAATGAACATGATCTGACGTCTACAGTATTAATCTGATTTATGCTAACATTGTTGAGTGGTACAAAACACTACTAAGTCCTTCTTAAGTGTCATCATCTGCTTAACACCTCTCTTCAAAGGGATATGAGCATAAAGGAAAGTGTGTATTACTGGAATTGAATTTCTAAAATTCATCTCCAAAAAAGAATACCACAGATCTGTCACACAGATCAACAGACTCAGTTATGACCTGGCCTATTTTCTATGTTACTTATACCTGCTAAGACAAAAGTTATATTAGAAGGGATGATTTAAATCTCAAATGAACTGAGAGGACATCCTTCTTCCATGGCTTTAAGTGAGAAAGATAAAATGAGCACTCAGTGATGTGGGGACATCGCCAAATACCCCAAATGCCACCTAATTGTCAAGGTCTAGTGTTTCCTATTAGGTGGTTCTAATAAACTCTTCCAGTTAAGGTGATAGCTGGGCTTGTCTAACAAGGCGCAGGGTGACTGATGACTTTCAGTCAGCTCTGCACACAAAACAAACGACAGAAACACACATAGGTTACAAACAATACGGCTTGGAAAGCAGGAAGAGCGTTTCCCACATAATGCTCCATTTGGCTTTAATGTGTGACAGGTCTTTTTGCTTGAAGGATACCCTTGTAGCACTGCTAGCAGACAGGCCTCCTGTTTTTCTGAAGGCATAGTCTGCAGACTCTCTCCATCTCTTGCTTTTCCTGCATGCTTCTTGTTCCTTCTTTGACTGTTGGACACAAACAAAGAAAATGCTGCTGTATGGAGACCAGTAGTCTATTGTGTGGCAGGACTGAGCGGTTGGGTTGAACGAAGGATGTTACAGCCCAGGGCGGTGGCCCGGAAACCAGTGGCGTTCTCATGCAAATCCTAAAAGAATAAACAAAAAAAACCTTCAGGAAGTGTAATATACTAAGAATATATCCAGAAAGTGTAACTGAGGGACATATTTGCTATAGCACAGGGTTTCATTAGGCTCAAACTCAGGAGCAAGAAATAGGAATTTAGAGTGAAAACTGGTTGGGGATAAAGGTGATGAGGTTAGCAAGACAAGAACCCTTGAAATGCAGATACCACTCCCTGGATGACTCGAAATACCTGTTCTGTGGTGCCACAGCAGCACAAGTCAACAATGTGAAAATGACAGAAAACAATCCTTTCATCTCAAAGCACAAATGTCATTCAGAAGCTCCTCTTTGGCAACCTCACATATCCAACAGACTATGTTTCAGTTCTGTGCGTGTCTTTTTTATTCTGTGATGTTGCTTCAAAGCGGTGAGCGTGCGGAAAAGAAAAACCCAGATTTAGCATAGCTAAATATAAGTTTAAAACTTCAACGCTTTGTATCTTACAGGAAGACCACAGTATTCCCTACCGCCCTACTACCTTCAAGTCAGCCTAAAGCTAAGATCACGAAGCTTTGCGGACGCCTTTCGCCCCACCGAGGGCGGGGCGGGGCGGCGTGCGGCCACCAAGGGCCATGAGCTCATCAGCGGCCGGCAGCGACGTCATGAGCGAGCGCCGGGGTGCGGGCTCGCTGGGGCGATGGAGGGGCTGCGCCGCGTCCTGCTGCTCGGCGAGGGCAACTTCTCCTTCGCGGCCTCCCTCTGCGGGGCGGCGGGGACCCGCGTCGTGGCCACTTGCTACGAGAGCGAAGAGGAGGTGCGCGGGCGGGGGCGGGCCGCGGAGAGCATCCGGCAGCTGCGGGAGGGAGGTGGGTCGGCGCCGGCGGGGCTGGGCAGGTCGGTGGGAAGGGAGGGTGGTAGTAGGGGTCCTCGGGCAAAGCGCCGTGGGAGACCGGGACGGGGGGTGCTCGGCCGTTAGCTGTACCCGCTTTTCCCGCAACGCGCGGGGCAGGGCTATGGGGCGACACGCCTTCCTTAAACCGGGGTCCGGGCGCCTTGGAGCCCTCCACCGCTCCAGGCAGGTCTCCGGAGGACACTTGCCACGAGGAACTGGAGTTGTCCAAGAGGCTGAGTCAAATGCCCTAACATCTAATCAGGCTGGAATCGACAGACTGGGAGCGTTGGAGTTGTTCAGCCTGGAGAAGAAAAGGCTCCGGAAAGACCTAATAGCCCCTTCCAGTATCTGAGGGGGCCCTACAGGAAAGCTGGAGAGGGGATTTTTACAAGGGCATGTAGTGATAGGACAAGGGGTAATGGATTCAAACTGGAAGAGGGTAGATTTCGATGAGATACTAGGAAGAAATTTTTCAGTTTGAGGGTGGTGAGGCACTGGAACAGGTTGCCCAGAGAAGCTGTGGATGCCCCATCCCTGGAGGTGTTCAAGGCCAGGTTGGATGGGGCTTTGAGCAACCTGCTCTGGTGGGAGGTGTCACGGCCCATGGCAGGGGAATTGGAACTAGATGATCTTCAAGGTCCCTTCCAACCTAAACCATTCTATGATTCTGGAAATAGTTCTGAAAAAAGCAGCCAGTGAGTAGAAGTCTCTGTAAGACAGCAAGGAGAGCCTAGGCTTTCTGGTTTTCCAAATACACATGAGTATGAAGATGCCGGGCAGCTGCTGCTCTGATGTGCTTAAAAATGGACTAGGTGGGTAGACATAGTGCTTAGAGATATGGTTTAATGATGGTTTTTGTCAGTGTTAGGTTGACGGTTGGACTAGATGATCTGAAAGGTCCCTTCCAACCTAAGCAATTCTATGATTCTATGAATTAAAAATTTTCAGTAATGATAAACATCAGAGTCTTGTTTTTTCTTTAATTTTGAAGGAGCTGAAGTTTTGTTTTCTGTGGACTGCACCAAGCTGACGGACTATTTTTCACCAGAAAAAAGAGAATTTGATTGTATTTATTTCAACTTCCCTCACTGTGGGAGAAAAGCTGGAGTGGTCAAGAACAGAGAGCTTCTTGCCCACTTTTTCCATAGGTGAGTAAACCAGAAGCAGTTCTATCCTAATAGACTGCTGTGATACATATTTCTGGCTGTGTTACAGCTGTTTTTCTGGCACTATACAATTTCTGTGTGATTTTTCTTGTTGCCTGGCTTTCCTTCTAGCGCCGCAGAAGTGCTGTCAGAGGAGGGAGAGGTCCATGTGGCTCTTTGCAATGGACAGGGTGGGACACCTGCTGATCAGCCAAGGAGAGAATGGCACAACAGCTGGCAAATAGTGGCCGTGGCAGCAGGAGCTGGATTTATCTTGAGTAATGTTCATCCTTTTAAAGCAGAGACTATCCGTGGATATAAGTGTACAGGCTACAGGTAACCATTGTGTGGCAAAACTGAAAAGTTGATATTGTGCTCTTATAATGCCTAGCACTAGTATGATGTTTTAACACCTTCTTTGTTGGAGAGAGGAACTCCCTTTAATTTTCCTTAAAATAGCTACAGTTCTTTATTGCCTCTAAGTAGAATAGCCAAGATAAAAATGCAAGCTTCTTGCCAAAATACCCTCTAAAAAATAAGATTATTTTAGGATTTTAAAGGTCAAAATGGTCCATTTCAGAACAGAGTTATCTCTGTAATGCTTGCTTGTGAAACATTAGATATAGGAAATGACCACTGACTTTGCTCTGCTTTTGTGTATTGTCAGGAGTCAAGATAAATCTTTCTGTATAGAGGGTGCTTTAAACCACGTTTTCACACGAAGCACATCACTTCCATATTTCAAACCTGTGATCTGCGAGATAGAACTGGAAAGCCGAAAAGTTTCTTTCCAAGTACCGCAGGTACTTGTGGATAAAATTAATAGGTAAGTTTTATAATTAACTTGTTTGGCAATAACACACACTCCTGCTCTCAGTGGGAATGACCAGCATAGATGTCAGATAAAATGGAATTTTTTCAGTTTCCCTTCTTTCCCCTTTTCATTCTGTTCCATTCTTCTTCAAGTCTGCTTCTTATTGGTTTGTGGTTATGGCCTACTTGAAAATAAGTCTACAAAACAAAAAGAAACTTTATGGTTGAGACCAAGTTGCTGTATACTGGAACACACAAATAAAAATGAAAACTTTAATCTCTTTTACTGTACTGTGGAAGAAATTCAGGAGGTGACTTGGTGTCTGCTAATACCACAATACTAAGGCTAGCTAGGATAAAAAATGCTAACCTCTTAGGCGAACTGCTGTATACTTCAGAGACTCTCCAGGGCTAGCATTACTGAATTAATTTCTGTAGTTTGGTAATGGCTGTGCTGAGTGGGAATGGTGATACTGACTGTTAAGTCCCATTCCTTTTTTACCAACAAAAGTGCAGTTAATTCTTGATTGCAAACTGGGAACAAACTGCTCTGTCCTGAAAACGTGTTATCCATTGCAACACCTTTGATGGAAGACTTGGCTTGTTCAGGTAGCTACTAGAAACTGACATAACATCTGAGATTGTTTTGGGTAAATTGCTGCACTCAAATTACAATCACAGGAAGGCATTTCAAGGAAATCTGTTTAGTGGTGTCTGTAATTTGTGCTTTTATTTTTCACAGGGGTTTCCTAGAACTAAATTCAAATCATCCAGTACGGACAGTAAAGGAGAAGCTCACTGCAGAGCTCAGCCAAGCCTTTCCATTACAAAACATTGACTACTGCCTTCCTGTGCTCCACCAAGGTCACCTCAATGGTATTTGTCACTCAAATATCTTTTGGATCATTGTGAGTCCAGAAGAAACTCCAAGCACTGGAGAAATGTCTAATGGAGTGGCAAATGCAGTTTTATTTTCCCATGTTGATTTTTGCAGGGGCACAGATAAGAATGGCTGGGTGAATGTACAAGAGGAATGCCACGTTTCCAAACAGTATTATCTTAGACCCTCCCTTCTACCTTATGCTCAGGCAATAATACAAAGAGGAGCCTTTGTCCCGGGGACACTTCATGTTCTTTCTGGCCCAGTTTTCAGGAAGTGTCTTATCACTCCTTACTCTATGCCTGTTTTTCATGAGGTGGTTTTTGTATGTGCAGTTGACAGGGATACAGAGAACAGCTGTATCCAGATGTTGGCGAATAGCATCAAAACCAGCATACATTGTCTTCACCAGACTGTTTCCGGCTTTGAACTGAGTATCAGTCTGCAGGAAGCAGAAAGATTTGAAACAATTGACCTGAGTGACTTTGCTGCTTTTGAATCTCATCTTAGTAAAATTCAGTACTTCATCTGTATGGAGATAAATACTTCAGGCTCCTGTGAGAAGGGCTCCTGTGTGGGAGTTATAAGGACCGAACTGGTAAGCAGTGAGTTAGTGGTTGTCTTTGCTTCGTTGAATCTTGACCTCCTAGCCATGTTGATATGTGGAATATCTGACTGGCGAATGCTCTGGACATCAGACACACGATTCCTCCGTCAATTTCCTAGAGGAGAGTTAAGACTTTTCAAGAGTTTCTCTCTCTATCCACCTTCCTATGTGCACGATGTCAGCTTTTGGGTTCCTGATGGGGAACAATTTGATGAGGTTGCTTTTCACACCATTGCTAGGCAGGTGTCGGGTGAAATGGTTGTATCCATCCAGTTAATCGACAGTTTCCAGCAGTCAGAGACAGCAAGGAAAAGTCTCTGCTACAGGCTGACCTTTCAGTCCTGTGACAAGGCACTGAGCCGCCAGGAGGTGGCAGAGATGCAGCTGCTCTTTCGGAAGGAAATAAACGAACGCCTGCGGGTAACTCTTCGGTAGGGCACTGTAGGTTGTTCTCAGGTGCTCAAGCAGCATCTGCACTTGTTGCTGATCTGGAAAATGTGGCCTATATCTTGTTGGGCCTAACGCCGTGGGTTACTGCAGTGCCTCCTATGAAGGCAGTGGGGACTTCAAGTACCTGTGCATGTTCCAAATGTGGAAATTCCTGTTAAAGAAGACCAAGCACGTTCCTGTTCTCTGTGTGTGTCATGAAAACTCACTTTTTAAAGCGGAGCCTTTCTTTGCTAGGGTCCTGTGAGACTGGACTTGATCTCCTTGCTGGTTCCAATGGACTTTTCCTACTCTGGCTTGTGTTTGCCCGGTACCTTGTACTGGTGGTGGCTGCATCCAATCCGCCGGGCGACGGAGGGCCTTTCCCCTTCCCAAGGGCTGTCTGAGCGCCGGGAACTCTGCGCCGGTGTTCGGAGCCCCCCCCCCGACACCTACGGGCCGGAGCCGCCCGGACGGTCCCGCTGCGGGGCGAGGCAGGGGGCGCGAGGCCGCGGCAGGCGCCGGTCACGTGCGGCCTCA